GGGAGCAGCGCCTTAGGAGAAAGCGGGAGAAGCAGCTTGCTTTGGAAAAGACCAGCCAAGCTGGCGGGTGATTCCTCCATCTCCTCACATAATGTTTCCCTGGGCCAAGGCTATTTTTATTATTTCCAGCCGAGAATGAGACAAAAACACCGAAAAGCTGTGTCTTCTAAAAAATGCTTTTCACGCAAGCTAAGCGGTCGTTTGCCAGATGTGAGAAGGAAACGCGATCTCTCCTCGCGCCTGCGCACTAGGCTCCAAAGCCTGCGCGATTCCCTGTGCAATCCCGGAGTGTCAGAGTCTGGGACTAGCGCGCATCCAGCCAGGCCTAAGGCATGCATGTGACAGGGAGGCGGAGGGAGCTGTGTGGTGGCAGCAGGCCAGGCCACTGTCAACTCCTGGCTTCTGCGCGTGGCCCTGCTGCTCAGGTCTCTCTTCCTGGTCTGACTGCGCAACGTTGACCTTGAAAACAGCGGCCAGTTATTGTTACCAGCAAAAATGGGTTTATTCGGGAATAGCAGAGAATTACAATCGGACAAGCATGTTGTAGCAAAAACGGTAGGCAAGTCCAGGAAACAAAGGAGAGGACCGTTAATATAGACAAGGAGGAAGTTGGGAAGGGTGCTTTGAACCAGAGTCCACGGAGGAAAGTGAGAGTTCAGGGTGGTGGCGGCTCTTCACCGGCTGAGTTGCGCGGGGTCCCTGGGCTGTGCTTGTTGCTGGGCAAGGAGAAGACCTTCCTCCTCTTGCTGGGGTAGGAAAGCGGCGACACTTCCTGCTGGGAGAGCAACTTATGTCCCTTCCTGCTGGGGTGTGTCATTGACATAGCGTGGTGGTGCGGGAGGGCTCCCGCTTGGCAGCCCCACTCCGTTTGAAATGAGACTTCCTTTATTCAGTCCCACACTTCCACTTGGTGTCTCACACTCCACTAACACTCGGGGTTGTGATAACCAAATCCTGTAAGTCAAATCAGCAAACCCCAAGGTGGAATTGGGACATCGTGCTACAGTTTGGCTAAAGGCTTCCGGAATGGGACCTGAGACCTAAGGTGGCCCAACACCCGCCTTCCCAGCTCCAGCTTTCACTCAATGAGTGTCTGAAGCCTTTGATACATGGAGGCCCCGTGGGTGCAATTCCACGTCGTACACCAGGGGGCACTGCCTCCCAGTGCCCGCTCCCAGTGCGGCTCCCCACAATTCTTGCCCTTCTCAAAGTTGAATAAAGGGACTCCAAAGCTCATTTGGAAGAATGATGAGAGAGAATGACCAGTGTAATTTTCGGGGAAAATAAAAGAGTGAGGGGGTGGAGGTGCCCTCTGTGCAGTCATGTAAGCCTGTCATCAGTAAGCTTCCGCAAGACCGACCATGGCGCATCGCTGATTCCCGTGATGCAGGGCAGATAGCAAAACCATGTGGGCTTGGAGCAAGACTCAGCGGAAATTCCCACTGGCAGTCTGTGTGATTCGTGCCTGTTGAAGATGCAATGTCACATTGGTGGAGGCAGGCTGGCCAGCTAATGGCACTGGAACAACCGGACAGCTAGCGTCTCCCTTTCCAGCACATAGCAGCGTGAATCCCATATGAAATAAATGCGTGCCAAAAAAAGTTAATAAGGGAGAAAATATTTGTGACCTTTCCAAGCTGAGTGCTTATTTCTAAGCAATGCAGGACCCCGCAGCGTGAAAAACTATACGTTTGAGTACACGAAATAAGAAACTTAAACGTTGTCCAGAAGCATTGTCAACCATCTTAAAGCTGAAGCTGCAGACCAGGAAAATGTTTGCACCGTCCCACAAGCTGTCATTTCGTGATGAAAATGGACCCAGATAGATAACTCTCAGGGAAGATTTATTATATTCCTTTTAAACTAATTACTGCAAAAACACTTGTTTGAGTTAAATCTGTTGTCAAAGGTGTTGTAAACCCATATGTGTAATTTGATTACTTGTTTCAAATACACAATCAGAGCTCCCGTCTCAGGCACATCTGTTGTCTGTGCAGGAAGGCACACTTCAGCATTTAAATGGTTGGATGTTTGACCACTGGCCACGCCGGTGGGGGTGCACGTGAGCATCTGGGATGCCAGACAGCCTGCATGAGAAGCTTTGTTCTGAGAGGTGAGCTCTGTGCTGGGGGTTCATTCATCCGTACCTGTGCCTGAGAATGACAGCTCTGTCTGGGGCAGCAGGAAGTTCACAGACCTACCGAGTGTGTGTGTGTGGTGGTGGTGGTGGTGAGGCAGGTGGCCTAGCCACAGGGACTTCCAGCAGGAAGTGTCTGCCCTCTTCCCACTTACCTGCCCACCTGGCATCTGTCTTAGGGCTGTTCACCTGGTGGCTGAACTTGGTGCCCCAGACAGCAGGGCGGGTAGAGGCAGGTGACTGTGACGTCCATACAGCTTATGCTTCAGGGGCCCTTCCAAGCGAGGGGTAGGAGTGGGGCTGGGATGTGTGCACATGTCATGTATTTTTGTAGTTAGTGAAGTAACTTAGTTTTATATTTACTTTTCTTAAAGAGGCCCCTCAAATTTAGACGTTCCAGGCCCCACCAAACAGGAGTCCCCTCCGCCCAGCGGCCCCTGCTTTAACCCCACGAGCCCCCCAGATTCCTTCCTTCTTCCTCAGAGAAGCTGGAGAGTTCTCTGAAATGATGAGTCGCCCTCACCCCACGGGTGAGCACAGGATGGTATTCAGCAGAGAAGCTGGGGGCCGTTTGAAAGGTGTTCACTCATTCATTCAACACATACGTCTCGAGTGCCAAGCGCAGCCCTGGAAGAGGAGGAAGGGGTAAGCTGTAAAGGTGGGAAGTGGGCGGACCCACCCGAAGCTCTCAGGCAGGGGGCTCGCTAATGCCTACCGGCACCCAGGTCAGGCCAGCACCAATGTGGGGTCCTCGGAGGCTTTCCCAGGGCCAGTCCCTAGAAAATGGATGTCAGGGAGTCCAGGAGAGCAAGGGCCTGGAACCCCGGTGTGGGCCAGCCCTGGTGCTGTGATCCCAGCCAGGGCCCAGGGACAAGATTAAGCAGGGTAGGCACACAGGGTTGTGCTTGGGGTGTCAGGTCAAGCAGGGATGCCAACCTGCCTTTGGGGTTTCCAGAAGACAGTGAAATATGCTGTGGACTGAATTTTCTCCCCAAATCCAAATGTTGAGGCCCTACCTCCAATGTGACTACAGAGAGGTGACTAAGGTTAAATGAGGTCATAAGGGTCGGGCCCTGAGCCTACAGGCTGATGCACTGTAAGAGGGGGAAGAGACGCCACTGTCTCTGTCTCTCTCTCTCCGCTGTGTGAGCACACAGCCAGAAGGCAGCTATCTGCAAGCCAGGAAGAGAGCCCTCACCAGGAACCACATCAGCTTGTCCCCTGAGCTGTGACTTCCAGTCTCCAGGATGGTGAGAAACAGCAGTCTGCTGTGGCATTTTGTTGGGCAACCTGAGCTAACGGAGACCCCCCGCTCCCCCCCCCCCGCCCTGGGGTGGTCAGACTTGCTGGGCCTCTGTCTTCTTCATGGGCTTCAGTGGTTTTCTTAGATTCATAGGCAGCAGGATAGGGGGCTGGGCGAGGGTTCCCAGAGCTAGACCCCTGTGTTCAGTTCTCAGATCTGCAGTTTACAAGCTGGGTGACTTGGGGATATTGCCTGCCCCCTGAATTTCATCTGTTCCCCATCTGTACAGCATGGTTGCAGCAGGGCTGGCCTGACAGGGACCCCCTACATTAAGAGGACTGTAACTCTCTGGCGATGTGGAAGGCTCAGAAAATGGTGTGTGTGGGGGGGCACTGTTGCATCTCACTGCTTCTGGACAGCTGGGGGTCTCCACCCCCCATGCCCCTCCCCGCCAGAGGCCCCAGGGCTCTGTATGAGGGCGGGGATTTTTAAGCTTTCCTGGTCAGGCCACTCGTACCCCATGATGTATTAGCGGAGAAAAGTGCTGATATCTGGGCACTGAGGCTGCCCATCTGGGGGCTCTACAGCTGGGCTTGGCAGGCGTTCATCCTCCACACAATGGCGCGTTAACTCCTGACCGCCCACCTGGTCCCACGCAGACTGCACCTCCCTCCGCTCTTCAAAGACCTCCCCAGGGGACTGTCCTACTCCAGGGACCCTGGAGCACCTGGTCCTCACACTGCACTGGAGTAAGTGAATTCCAAACCAAAATTGGGTTTAAAAGAGAAGTAAGTCCTCCAAAGCGAGAGTCCTGTCTCAGACCGCCTGTGGGGAGCAGGGTGCCCCCAATGCCCCGGGCCGATGGCCAAGAACGCTCTGCACAGTATAGGGATAAAAATGCCCAGATGGTGGTCGGGGAGTGCCCAGAGGCACGTGTAGGGCTGCAGAGGCTGCCCCGAGGATGAGGACGGGGTCTGGAGGCCAGGGCCGCTCAGAGCAGCCTTTGCAGGTGAGGGGCGTGTTTTCTGGCGCCCCGCCGAGGTTGGTCACTCAGATCGCTGGGACCTGGGACTTTCAGCCGGAGAGGAGCGGGGAGAGCGAAGAGGCTACACGGGCCCGGCACGCGGTGGGGTGGGAGGTGGGGCTGGGGTGCGGACCCGAGAGGGGTCTTGGGCGGGGCTGGGAGCCAGGGAGGGGCGGGGACAGGGCGGGGCCGGGACGTGGAAGGGACGGTGATGTGGGCGGGGCGCGTCTCGGCTGGAAGGGGTCGGTCGGGGACGGGCTGTGGGCGTGGTCGGGTCTGGGGTCCGGCTGGGGGCGGGGCGAGGGCGGGGCGGACTCGCGCGCGGAGGTCTGCGCGCACCGGGCTCTCCGCGCCAGAACAGACCCGGGCGCGCAGGTCTCCGCGGCCCCCGGGGCGCGGGCAGGAAGCCGGACCCTCTGCACCTGCAGCGACCTCAGGCTCGGCGGATCGGGCACGGGCGCCTGTGGCTGCGCCCCTTGTACCCCGGGCCCCCAGACGGACCATGGTGCGCGTGGAGGCGGCGGCTCCGAGGGCTCGCCGCGGCCGCGTGTGAGCAGGGGACCCGAGGAGGGACCTGGCGCGGGGCCGCGGGCGACATGCCTGTCCTTCCGGAGGCGAGGGCGGCGGGACGAGCTGTGGCCCTGGCCCTGGTGCTGCTGTTCCCCGCCGTGCCAGCGGGCGCCGGCGCCCTGCTCCGCCTTCAGCCCAGCATGTGAGTAGCGGGAGCGGGAGGGCTCGGCGGCGCGTCCGGAGACCCGGGCTCCTGGGCGGCTTTATCCCCGGGGTCCTGAGAACAGCGGGCTCTTCGCCATAACTGGGGAGAGGGAGGCGAAGAGACAAGGTTCCGGGGTTGGGTCTGGGGGCGCTCCCGCGGCAGGGCCGCTCGGCCTCTGCTCTTCGCTTCCTCAGTCCCCCTAACGCTGTAACGGGGGTTGCACGCTAAGGCGGACGCTGTGCGCCGGGCCGAGGTGAGGAAATCTGGGTCCTTGCCGAGCAGGGTCCGCCCAGGGAGCCCCGCTTGGAGGAGGCAGAAAGGAAGCAGCCAGTCTCCACTTCCTTCCAAAGCCTGTCCGGGGCCTGGGGGCGCCTGTGCAGGGGCGGGTTGTGCCCAGACAGGGGCCACGCGGAGCTGGTTTATGTGTTGAACACGTGCGGTTCGGGGCTGAGAGACTTGAGAAGGAATTCAGCCCCAGAACGGGCAGGAAGAGAGGTCAGGGAGCCTGCTGAGACGGACTTAATTCTGAAAGACGATTCCCCAGCCGGCCGTTTAGCGGTCTCTCTGAAACGGCAATCGATCCTTGTGTTGGCCTCAAAGGAAAACTGGTGCCAAAGGGAGCCGACCGGAGGGGGGGGGCAGGGAAGGGGAGCCTGCTGGCGGCCCCCACCCCAGCGCTCCTGGCGCCTGCAGAGCTTGGAAAGGCTGCAGAGGGGCTGCAGAGGGGTGGGCGAGCGGCCCAGGCCCAGGTTACGGTCTCCTGTCCAGTGCTTCCCAGAGGGCCAGGTGCACCTGGCCACACGGGAGGACTGGACAGGCTTCCACGTGTGTGGAGGGGGGAGTCCAGGCCCCCAGGATTCCCACCCTGGGTCTTGCTATGCTCCCAGAAGGAAGATCCCTTGTGATCTTTGAAAGGAGCTGGGTCTCTGGTCTGGGGGCCTTTGCATCCAGGACTGTGAGCAGCCGAGTCCCGGATGCTGCACGTGACTTCGGCCGGACATTCCTCTTTCCTGTGACCCCAGCGAATTTAGTTGGTGCAAGGGAAGCTGCAGCTCAGAAGGGATTACGATGGTGGCAGTGGCCTGGCCTGCCTGCCCTTCCCGTGGTTGGCTGGGGACTTCCAGGGGCCCAGGCTCCTGGGAGTTCCATGGTGCTGGTTGGGGTGGGCAGCTGCTCAGCCCGCTTAGGAGGGGGCTTCTGCTCCAGGGCGCTTGTGGACACTTCTGGTTGCCATTCCTGGGCGCCCTTCTCTGAGCCCCAGGGACGTTTCGTGAGGTCCCCTGCTCCCCTAGGGGGAAGCCTTTCCCACCGGTGGCTAGTGGCTGGCATGAGATCGCAGGCTCTTTCTGCCGCCTGCTTGTCCCAAAGCCCCGTCTCCTGCGTTTCAAATCCAGGGCTCCTTCAGGTCTCTGCCCACCACTCCGCCTCCTCAGGGAGCCTGGCAGGCAGGGGTGGCAGCCCCTCTGGGGGTCCGCACCCCCATCTCTTGGCGGCATAACCACGCAGGGCTTCTGTTCTCAGATTGCCCCACACGTGTTGAGTTCCGTGACGCTTATGAACACACCTCCCTAGGTCCCCCTGTGTCCTAAGCACCTGGCACGTCCAACCCGCAGTGGGGAATGGCGGGTGTGCCTGGTGGCTGAATGAGCGAGGAGAGTGCCCTCTGCCCCAACCCAGAGAGGTTTGTCCACTGGGACATCCAGCAGCTGTTCTGCTGAGCAGGAAGCTGGTGCGAGCAGGCGGGCTCCTGGAGGTGCCAGATGTGCCCTTTGCTCCCTGTACCCCAGAGCGGGAGGAGAGGGGCTGGGGGAGCAGCAAGGGTGTCAGAAAGTGCTTTGTCCTCTCAGGTCCTGCCCTCCCGGCCACCCTTCCCTTCACAGGCAGCCTCACCCTCTGGCTGTTTTTTTGACCCTCCATGGTGAGCTCTGGGGGGAGGCAAAGTGGAGACGGTGCTGAAAGGGAGGGGGGATCCCACTGACTTGAAGCCTCAGGGGCTCCGGGGGGCCTTTGTGGGCCTGTGGGAGCCATGTGGCTGGTACTTTGGCCCTCGCTGGCCGATCGCATCCAGATTCAAAACCATCCAACACCTATTTATTTATTTATTTATTTATTTATTTATTTATGCTCTGAAATGGATTTCTGCCGCTGTGGAAGAATGCTTTGCCTTTCTTCCTGGAAACTGGAAGGCTGCTGATCTCATGCAGAGCTGGCCCAAGGCTACTGGGAGTGCTATGGGAGCAGGGTCTGGGGACAGGGAGATGATGTCCCCACTCACTGGAGTTCTGATGGACTGTGGTCTGAGAAGACATCTGCTCCAGCGCTCTGGTTCCCCCGGGGATAGAGTCCCCTCTGGGTGGCCGTGCTGGGAGAAGGGCCAGTGCTTCAGAGTCAGCTGGTTACGATGACCTGCCTGTCCACGGAGAGGCAGGCCTTCCGAGCCCAAGTCCCGTCTTGCAGGTGGTGCTGCCATGACCTCTTAGACCTCATGGTCCCAGGGCGGGACCTGGGCGAACCCCGGAGCTTCCCCACACACCCGCTGTCCCCAGGCCAGGGAACACGGGTGCAGAGGCCAACCATGGGGGTAAAAGCAGGAGCCTGTGACAACAGATGTGACCAAGTCGCTTCTCGGCATTCCACCTGGATGAGTGGGTGTGCAGCCAGGCGTCCCTGCTGGGTGTGGCTGGCTGCCCCTGCGCCCCGCCCTGGTTTTCCCATCCCCACCTACTCACCCTCATGCCCTCGTCCTGGGGTTCCAGGGGCCCTGGAACCACCCACCCCAGACGGGTGCATTTCGTGCCCACCCTCACCTCAGCGCCAGCTTCCAGGAGTGCTGCTCTGCCTGGAGCAGGGACCCTCCCACCGAGCTGTGTTCACTTTGTAGTTTGGGCGTGGCCTTCCCGTGTCCACATGGGAAGCAGGACCCAACTAGAGGGGCCTGCGTTTCCTCCCGCCTGCCCACCCCCCATCCCAGAAAGTCATCCCAGCGCTCACCCTTCCTCCCTTTAAGGGATCAGAACCCACTCAGGTCTGAGCCCTCATTTTCAGGGCCGTGGAGAGAGAGGCGCAGCCCTCACGCATGTGGGGGAAGCCAGGTGGACCCTGCAGGCCTAGGGAGCAGCTCTGAGGACCAGAGTCACACAGGTGCATCAGGGGGGTGAGGACAGGTGGGCAGGGGATGGGACAGTGACTGGAGTGCATGTGCCGGAAGGGCTGCTGTGTGACCGTTGGCGTGGTCCTCTCGCTGGCTAGCAGCTGCCCACGTGGCTGAGGTTTGAAGAGGGCCGGGGAGGATGAGGGGACCTTGCAGAGGAGAGCACCCAGCTCTCCCGGGACCCCTGCCCTCCCCTCGTGGGGCCTTTCTCCTCCTGCTGACGGAGTGGCCGGACCACTGCCTCGTTCCTCCTGCAGCCCTCGGCGCCCCTGTGCCAAAGAACCGAGCTCTGTAGCGCCACCTCCCCGAGGCCCCATGCTGGCATCCTGTGTGCTGAGCTGGGGTCAGCGTGAGGGAATGGCGATGACACCCCAGGAGCTGTGGGGCCCTGAGACCCAGACACACAGGGACTTTCTCTGAGCCAGGGCCCGTGCCGGGTTGCAGACTCACCAGCCTCATTTCAAACACCCAGGAGCCATCAAGCCCCCTTACAGATGCTACAAGAGGGTCAGTGACCCCTTGGGCTGTGCAGCGGCCCCAGACCTGCCCATGCTCGTAACTGCCCTCCTCGGAGTCATCTCATCATCAGACAATGAATGACAGAGCCACTGGCAGTGGCTGCCCACAGCACAGGGGCCATTTCAGGGTCAGGCTGGGACTGCAGCCAGCAGCTCAGAGGTCATTGGGTCTGAGCCCCTCCCCCCATCATCCTCTTCTCCTCCTGCCACTGTCGACCAGGAAAGCTGCGAGTGATACGTGTGTCACTAGGCGCAGGTGTGGGCAAAAGAATTTGGAGCAGGCCGGCCGAGTGGCGCGTTGGTTAAGAGCTGGCTTGGGATCCCAGCTCTGAGCAGTAGATCCGGTTCAGATCCCACATGAGGGCCAGTGACGCTGCGCCCTCTACAGCTAAGATGGTGAACAACAGCTTGACCTGGAGCTGGGCTGC